CCAGAGACTACAGAGATACCCCAGAGACTAATGGACTCAAATGAGTTCCAAATGGAAGTGGGAGATATCACAGGGGTTTTGCTGTATGGCCTGTTGAAGCCTTGGCAACTACCTGGAATTAAAGAGTGGCCAAATGCAGCCTTTCAGGATTGTGCCTGAGCAGCCTCCCTTGAGCCATCATTCCTGATGGTCCCTGTCATTCATAGAGGAATTGTGAATTTTAAAAATGGTTAATGGATGCTTTGTTACATTGTTGGTGGAAAATGAGGAATGGGCATGGCTTAGAGCCTATTTCAGGATGGCAAGAATGGCAAAACAGCATTATTTCCCTGCCTATATGGTATCTGCAGTATCACCCAGCATCCTTGCTCTGGACCTATGTCCCTTTCTGGACAAGAGGCTTGGGTGATCATCTTCAGGGCCATTGTTCAATACCTAATGGACAAATCACTTGGATTCATTCTAGTTGGAACCCATGCCTGGTATTTAAAATGCCTGGGGAAAGGATGGCTTTTGATATCATCAACTATGGCATCATTTGGGGTGGTCATCTGTTGAATTTGGGCTGGACACGATGGGTGCAGGTTCGACTTCTTTCTCCAAGATAAGTGTTAATAGGGAATGAGAGGTTCAGCCCATAGCTTCTCCCTTTTGCCTAGAGATATCTGGAAGCTTCAGTGAGTGCACAATTCAGGTTTGTGGGAATTTCATGGGATCCATTGGATGTTCCAATTTATATCACTGCCTGCAAACTTGCATCGGCATAATTGATAGAAGTAGCACTGGTTGTACTTGTGGATGATCTATGGCAATGGCAGGATGATGGTGTACATCCATCTTTGCTCTCCAGCAGCCTTTAATACCATCAACCATTATATTTTTGGGATCAGCTATTGGTCCTGTGGCTGGGTGGCACAGTTTGGCTCCTTGACTCAAGACCGGTCCCAATCGATGTTGATAGGGAAATAGAGAGATCAGTGGCATGCCATAGGGCTTGGCTCTCTCCACTCCTTTTTAACATCTACATGAAGCTGGGCGAGATAGATCTTCATACAGAAAATAGCATGCATCATAATTCTTATGATATAGTATCTCATGATACTCAACTTTGTATCTCCATCCCTAGTGATCTTACTGCTGCCCTTTCATAGTAACTGGCAGTTTGGATGGGGGAACAACAGACTTTGGCTGAATCCTCATAAGACTGAATGACTCTGAGTGCAACTGTGGACCCAGTTCACAGCTTTGGGGTCCCTTTAGACTCACAAGTCCTGCCCCAAAGAGCAGATGGCAGTCATGGCTAAGAGAACCTTTGCACAGCTTCAGGTTGTGCATCTCTGGCAGAGTTTCCTGGATCAGGAGTGGGCTCTGCACTCAGGTTGTCACACAGCTGAAAAAAGCAATTTCAGAAGCAAGGTCTCACTATCGGAAACTTGGTGGCATGGCCAAAAGAATTTTTTGAACTGCCACCAATCCTCCTTTCTCTTGCAGCTTGGTTACGCCAAACCCTAAACCCACCTGGACTGATTTCTGGGAGGGAAACTTTGACCTCTTGGATCACCAGGTCTCAGTAATGCATGCCAGATCAGCTTGTTCCTCCCTAATATGAATGCAAATAACAAAGCCTTATGATTCACCAACCTGGTGTTCAGCAGCAGCAACTGAATGTCCAGTTGCTGCTCCAGGACTGCTGTCTAGAGTCTGGGCCTAAGCTGAGAGAGCAGGATCATGCCAATGGTCTTAAGCAGTGGTGGCGTTTTCTGCAACAACTTTCCCTTTGGCTCCCATCTATATCCCATTTATACTAAAATTACTATGTAAAAAAATGAAGTGAAAACTTTATTCTGAGTGTGTCCTGAAACTAAATGCCCCTGTATATGATACAAAGCATAACTGCTGTTAATTGGCACTAAAGTTTGAATTTCAAGTAGGTTGAAGCAATTTTTTTTCTCCTGGAGGTTTTGGATGCCAAATGGAAACAGCTCAAGAGCTTCATTTATCTCAGTGCCTTCTTAAAGATATATTACCCCTTTATGTGCAATTTTTGTTTGCAGATTGATAAAGGTGAGGGCTAGATACCACAACCTTCAAAAGAATGTTATCTTTCTTGGCAGGCACTGGACTTTGTGTCAAGCAAGCTAAATAACAAGAGGTGTTAACCAAAAAGCAACTCCCCCCCCCCAAACCTGGATGCTTCTTCCTAATGTAACAGATCCTCTTGTAGTCCTCCTACAGTTTTGCCAAGTTGCAAAATCCCATTTCTTTCTAGTGTGTTCTCTGTTTATGTAGATGAACCAGAAAGAACTGCAAAGAGTAGGTGGCTGTTGCTTAACCCTGTTGCATCTATCAAACGTCCTTTGAAATTTATTTCTGCTTCCCCTTAAGGTGGCTTAGAAGCAAAATCAATTGCAGAAACAATTAACTACTTTTGAGAGCGAAGGCTTTGTCCTTTCCCACTGGACTTCTCTCGGGTGGTTTTCTGTGCCATCAGCAATGCTGGTAAACGAAGAGTTTGCTGTGATTAGGTTACCCCCGAGATGGTTTTCATGTAACGATTTTACTACGTGGAGTGCTTGTCATCTTAGAGCCTCAGATGACAAAATAGATACTCCATTTACCAAAACTGCTCCTTGATTAAGCTCAATAACAATTATTCCTAATGGTTTCAGCTTGGTGTTGGTGCACAACACCAATCTCTTCTCGAAGGATGGTGCTTCTGATCGTTGAAGCTTTTGAACAGAAAATTCGTTAGAAGCTGAGATTGGTTACTCTCCTGCATAATAACTTCTCTTCACTATAATTTGTGATTTTTATAAGAAGGAGCGTGTAACAATTGGCACAACAGTACAAATGGAAGAGTGGCCTGAAAACAAGAATAAATGTCAAAAGCATGTTGAGCTACTGTACAGAAAGCTGTGAAAGGAAAGATTAAATTGAGGATTGTCTGCTGATGTCAGAATGCTGGCTATTGATTCAGCGTTGCAAATGGAAGATGTATAGTGGAAAAGAACGGATGTAGGAACTGTGTCTGAAAATGGAGAAGTAGCAAATTGCTATGTTACTAATCAATTTATGATGGGCCACTCACCATATGAATAATTTTAACAAGATTTTCGTATTGATCCAGGGCTTAATGCCATTTTTTAAAAAAACCTCTAAAAACACAAACTCTAAAAAGAAAGTATAGTATAGAGCTTAGCTCTTTCTACATCCATGTGGAAATAGCTTCCAGTGATTTATATTTGTTCCCACTTATGTGTAATTGGATGGCGTGATGGCGCAGCGGTTAAGACAATAGGCTTGGCTGCTAGAAAAAAGATGACTGTTATGGAGAGTCAATTGCCATGCAGTTGGGTGGGGTCCCATTACTCGCCCCAGTTCCTGCCAACCTAGCAGTTTGAAAGCATACAAATGCTAGCAGCTAAATAGGTACCACTTCAGTGGGGAAATTTACTGGGTTCTTTATTTTCATGCTGGTTACATGATGGTGGAAACATTTCCCAAACAATGCAGCCTCCCTTGATTGAGAATCTGACAGTTGGGCACAACGTTACAAGATTGAATGGCTCCAAGTGCAATGGATCCAATTCACAACTTTGGGAACAGACACTAGGCTTGTCTGCTGGAAAGTGGACTCAGTTCACAACTTCGGGGTTCTTTTGGACTCACAATTCCTTTTCAAAAGAATAGATGGCAGTCGTAGCTAGCAGAAACTTTGCACAGCTTCAAGTTGTGCATCTCTGGCAGAGTTTCCTGGATCAGGAGTGGGCTCTACATTCATGTTGCTATCTTGGAAGTAGCAGCACAACAGTTAAGATACTAGGCATCTACGGACCATACTGGCTTCTTCAGCTAGAAAACTGGAAAGAAGCTCTACCCCCTAGAGTCAAATACAACTTGGCAGGGACACCTTTATCTAGTTTCAACATAAAATTTCGTGGATTAATGGAATCAAAGCTCATCAGTCATAAAACTGAATGAAAGGGGGTATTTTTAAATTGGTGGCTTTCGTGGAAGGAATTGTATAGTCCTAAAATACTATTCAAAAATTCTTGAATAAATTAATTGGAGACTTTAACTTTTTTCCTTTTTTCAGAAAATCATTCTGCCCCTCCAGATGTTACTACTTACACCTCCGAACACTCAATACAAGTGGAAAGACCACAGGGTTCAACATCAAGAGCGGCTCCAAAATATGGAAATGCTGAACTTATGGAAACTGGTGATGGTATGTCTAGTAAAAGGGAAGAAGGTAGGCATAGACTCCAGAAAGGAAAGTTTGGCCAGATAGATAGTGTAGCAGAGGTATTCCTGTTCATTTATATGTACAGGAAAAGGGAATTAATTAATTGGTGTTTAAAAAGTTTTAATTAGCAAGAATTTAAACTTCTGCATAACTGAAGACTAGAAAAGTAAGATTCTGAAGACAAGAAAAAGTAAGATTGAGGTGTTTTGTATCTGTGTAGGTTCAAGTAGGATAACTGGTAGCTCCAGAAGTATCCAGAAGAATGAGCCATGAAAGTAAAGTATTAAAATTTGACATGACATAACAAGTCTTGCTTGTTCTAAGCCTATTTGAAGTGACATTTTTCTTGAAGAGTTAGTAGTTCTCCTGGCCATTCTGTTTGAGAAGGGCATTCATCTATCTGTTTATTTAATCACAGTGAAGTTTAACTATAGGATTCTTCCCGACTTGTGACTGGTTATTTACCAGTTGGACAGAGATTTTTCAGGGCTATCAAGATGCTTCCTGTATACCATTATTTAATTTGATTTTTAAAGTTTGAATTCAGATTGGTATGTTTTTGTTCTCTACCTAGAATTGGTAGACATAATCGCCCCTTCAATGCTTTTGATGATTTATTTTCCTGCAGGAGTTCCAGTAAGCAGCAGAGTATCTGCCAAAATCCAGCAGCTAGTCAATACTCTGAAACGACCCAAGCGTCCACCACTGCGAGAGTTCTTCGTGGATGATTTCGAAGAATTACTGGAAGGTAACACAGTTTGACTTCCATGCATGTATTTTGGGTGGGCCTGATAAAATTACTCATTTCTTGTGCCAGAAGAAAAAATGTCCCAATAAAATTTTCTTGGATTTTGTGTTTAGTTCTGGAGTCCTAGTGGTGCTATGATTAAAATGGAGTAATGCAGGCAAACTGTCCCCACCACCTGGAATTCAATCCTCCGGGGCTTAATTTAACCCTTCCATTCTTTCTGTAAAATAAGAGAGATTTTTGGAGGCAATATGCAAATTATGCTTTTACATAGTAAAAATAAACTTAAATGCTATTGCTATTTGATGATGTGATGACAAAGAACTCCATTGTCCTACGACATGCTGCATATAATTAATAACTGCTACTCACTTCCTTTGTTTAGATTAGTTGGGAAAGAGAGCATTATTCAATATTATTTTTTGTAAACTACATTCTTTAACCATACTGTTCTTACATGGCTATCAGTTTGAACATCTGGATATCTCTGAAGGATCTTTGGGGGACAAATGGACCTCCAAATTGGAAAAGTCATGGTTATTGTAAATATTAAAGTAGAAGAAGAAACATGATTGAGAAAAGGCTTGCCAACAATATGTTCTCTAAAATCCAATCATTATTTATTGCAACATCTCAAACAGGCCGGATAGACCCATAGGATTATAAGTTTTCTCTCTCTTTAGTTTAGTACAGAATTAAATGAAGTAACACCCTCTCACATTTGTAAGTTCAACAACCAGATCCAAACCAACCAAAGCCAGAAGGAGCTCAGATGTTGGCGATGCGTGGGGAGCAGCTGGGCGTGGTTACGAATTGGCCACCTTCACTTGAAGCTGCATTGCAACGATGGGGAACAATTTCTCCCAAAGCTCCTTGTTTGACCACTATGGATACCAATGGAAAACCACTATATATTCTCACTTACGGTCAGCAATCATTTTTTTCCTCTTTTGAGAAAAGAAATATAATAGAATGCTGAAAATCTTCTCATGTTTTTAAATGTTAAATATTAGTAGTTTGAAAGGATTAAAATGTGAGTAAATAGGTATCACTTCAGTTTGAAGGTAACAGCGTGTTCTGGGCATCTTGATGTACAGTCATGCTGGCCACATAACCATGGAAGTGTCTTTGAAAAATATAGACTCTCTCAGCTGAGAAATGGAGAGGACCACTGACCCCTAAAATTGGACATAACTGAACAGGGAAAACCATTACCTTTAAATATGATAATTTCTTAGGGGGTTTAGCCATACAAATTATAGGAACCCAGCTTGACTGAACTGAATGGAATCCCTTGAAGAGTTTATTCAACAGAGAAGGTGGTAACTAAATGGTTGTGTTCATGTTTGAAATGGAACAGTGGTAGCTCGGTACTCATCGTTAATTGGTTCCAGAAGATTCAATGACCACCAAAAATGATAAGTACCAACCAAAATTGTCCCATTAGGAGTAATGTAATGAATCATAAGGCAGGCGACCTCAACAAATTCTAGTTTGAGTACCAAACAAATGATGATACCAAGACAAAATGTTCACATCAGAATGTATCAAGTACCAAATTTGATGAGTTTCAGTTGAGTTCCAAGAATACATCTTTGAATTTTCGTGTTCAAGTGAGTCATCTCCATTTGTAGCAATAACAGGAATAAAAATCAGGGGACTATGTGGTTTAGAGTTGATAGCATTCATCAGGAATAATAGTTTGGATCAATATTGGCAGTTCCATTCCATCTTGAAGATGACATCTTCTTACGCATGTAGCATTAACAGCATTTATTCATCAATTTTTTTGCCCTAGGAAAATAAGTTAATTTCAGATGACAGCTGTCCTTGCTTTCTTGAAGAAGAGAGTTTGTATGAGCATATTCCTCACATAATGTTTTCTGTTTATATATTTGAATTCAGAAATAATTTAAGAGGGCCATTTTGCACCACTCCTAAAGTAATTCTCTTTCTCTCTCTACGTAATATATGTTTCATCATTCTCAGTCTGAGATGTACACCTACACATTCTGGTTGTGTAGCCCATGAATTCAGGGGCCTGTGTCAAGAGGGTGTGGGGCAGAGTAATTCAGATTAAAACAACCCATCCACCTTTCAATGCTGTTTGATATCAGTTGGGCATACTTGCATACAATGCCACCTTATAATAACTATTTCTGTACATTGTTAAGAGTGTGAGAAGCACTCAGTTACTGCAGTGTCTATGTGGTGGAAAGTATATTGTGATGCTGAAAAAAATGTACAATTATTTGCAGCTGATTTTTGTCAAAATTCTGAACTGATACGCATACATTTGGTAAGACTTTTCTGGCTTGCTGTGGCTAAGTTAGTGGTGTGCGGTGCTGAAAATCCTACTGTTCATGATATAATCCTAATTTTGTGGTTTGCTTTTCTGTCGGCATACCTCTCTGCCACAAGCTGACAGCTTTTACACCCAACGTATTCATGACTAATGGAGCAGAACCCTGGCAAAACATTTGCCAAGTTTTAAAGAAGTATCTATACCAATGCTTTCCAAAGTCCCCTTTTCCCACTCATATTATTATGAGCATATTATTAATGAAGCACATTTTTTCAGGGATGTATCCAATGGATTTTAATGGTATTTTCTGCGATTGGGTAATAAAATTATGCCCACTTCAGAAATGCTTTAGAATAAATCCTTTCAACCTCACACTGAAAGGTGGAAAAAGTCAGGTTGCTTAAGATATGAATAGCTTCTTTTGAATCATGTTCAATATGTCTTTAGCCATAAATAAATATACATAAGGAAGTAGCCTTCAAACAATATTTTTCCCTTTATTGTTGATTTGAGAGATAGTAAATCAAAAAGTAAATTTTTGATTTACTACTGTGATTTTCATTAAGTTACAAAGAGACAATTGTTGCTTGTTTCAGATAAGAATATGTATGAATTAGATATGGAAATGCATGTAAATTTTCAATAAAATGCTTTGTCTGTGCAAGCGACATTCAGTTGCAAATGTCAGCAAGGTCACACCACACATTAGGAAAGGGAACATAGTTGGCCGCACAAGTGGGAGATAGATTTTTGTTATCTGGCAAGGTTCACAAACATGTTGACTAGTTAATCAAAGTACAGACAGTCGTCAACCTATGACCCCAGTAGAGCCTGGAATTTACATTGCAAGTCATGATAGTGGTAACTCAAGGTACTTGCATGACCAATCTGATTTTATGACCTTTTTTTGTGGTGGTCATAAAACAAGCATAGTGATTATAAAACAAACATGGTGCTCATAAGGGTAAAATGGCAGTCATAAAACAAAAAAATTCAACCCTATGAACATTTTTTTGGGGAAACCAAAAAATAGTAAATTGTGGTCATGTGATGGAGAAATGCTGCAACCAGTCATTTGTGAAGTGCCTAATATGTGGTCTTGAGACTGCTGGGGGAGTGAGCACTGTTGAAACTCTAGAACTTGGAAATAAGTGCCTTTTTCAGGTCTATTGTAACTTCAAATGATCACGGACTAACTGCCAATTAAGCAAGAACTACCTCTAAGCCATGTTTTGAACTTGCCATTGCTCAACTTATACTGAACCATCATATTGCCATCAAATATGTTTTGTGTAAAGCTGGTTGTTTGTCTTTTGATATACTTTCCTTGAATGTATTTCTGTCTATGCTTATACAACTATTCTGTACTTTAATTAAATCAGAAGGATTCAAAATGGATTGCTTTCTGGTTTGTTTCCAAATTCCTTGCTTGCAAGTGCTTGATTTTTATTTTATATTTTTTGTCATTGTTCTGCAAATAAAAGACTTCATCTAGGTTGCAGTTATGGAGACATGCAGCAATAGCTTTTTTTTAAAAAAAAATTGCCTGTCTGAACTTTCATAATTGGCCTAAAGACTCTGATCAGAACTGCAGGTGACTAATGGCTTCGTTATAGCCTTCTTTGAATTTGGGACAAACATTGCCAGCACTCAAAATGATCTGGACACAATTGATAAAAAAACATTTTCCTATGTGTTAAATCACATGGATATACAACCCGTAGTATAGTAGGGAGTCATGAAATTGTCAGGATGAACATTTCAAAGAACAAAAACCAACTTTCCCAGGCATATTGAAACAGATCTGACTTATTTGTGCTGACAAGATAGCAGCTACTAGTTGAATACTGTAATATCAAGGGCAACCTCTCCTGAACACTTGTTAAAAAGTAGAAGTATGGTCATAATGTGGTTCATCAATTTTTACTCTTTTGAGTGGAGAATTGTTCTTTGCTTAGAGTTTTATTTAACAAGGTCGACTTGTGCAAGTTTGGGGAAGGACTTGGACAAGATCCAACAAGGCAGATTTGGATCTCTTTTTATGTTCGTTTGAAGCTCCAATATATAGCATAGAACTCTATATATCCAGCGATAGTATCTTCTTTACTTTGGAGGATTTCTGTGCTATCATGCTAGCATGATGTATATGTGAGCTTCTGAGTATAAAAGCTAGATAGGTCTCATAAGATTGTATCAATGCAAAGTAAGTAAATCTTACATTTTGAAACTTGAATATCCAGTCAATTGACTTGCACTATGAAATAAAAACTCTTTTGAGGTAGAAAAAAAGTTAGAGCAATCAGAGCCAACTTTGATTTAAGCAATAAGAATTAGATACTGATGAATTAAAGTTGTTCTTAAAGTATAAACTTTTATATGATGTCCGTTTAGCCGTCAATTTTGATTTCCGTAAAGCCGTCAAGACCTGGCTGTTCTGGCAGGCCTGGGGCCGATGAGTTCTCAGCCCCACTCGAGTTGTTGCGGCTGTTGTGAAGTTTTCTTTTAATCTGATTTTTGGATTTTGTTTTTGTCTTATTTGTTTTCTTTGTATCGCCTTGACTTACTTAAGTCTTTAGCGTCGGTACGGCATCGCCAATCCCTTCGCTGTAGAGTCGCATGCATCCC